CTGTCCATGGACATGGTGCTACGCACAAACGTATCAAGGAGTTCTGCATCTGACTGTCTCAGTGTCTGTCTAGCGCTGAGCAGCAGCCAGGACTCGCAGGAGGTTCTTTTACCACACGGAGCTAACAGTAACAGGATGAGCTGATTCCCGGCCCACCTGCCACCGGTAGACCTACCCTTTTCACAGGGAAGTACTGATAAAACGTTACTTTTAGTACTGTACCCTTACTGGCCTTAGTCACAGCTCGGCATAGTCACTTGGGCAGTGACAGCCGCAGACTGCGAGATCCCAGTAGCAGTACCTACTGTTTGTTCGCTAGAACTTAGGAAGTAGTTAGGTCGAGGACTGTGAGTACTAGTACCCATGATAATGAGTGTATGGGTATTCCGCATCCCCATTCCCCACCCCTTGCCCTTGACCTCAACTAATTACTTCTTCTCCTTCTTTCTGCTCTGACCAGTGAAATACGATAATTATTATTATCATGAACAAAATTGTGACGCTACGCATGGCAAACACAACACACACTCCGCAAACACGCTGCTATTAGTACTAAGTCTAAGGTCTTCATAGTTCATGACAAGGGTAGGGTTTACAATGCATTCTTGCATGTTCATGACGTTGAACTATTCAATATCACCCTCTGCACCTTTCTGTCCCTGCGGGAATTTGCGGAAAAAACTCTCGAAAACATGCGCAAGAAATTGCGGCAGAAAGTAACAAAAAATGCGACGAAAAGTGCGGAATGATGCAGAACTTGCCAGGAATTCGCGGAATTATTTGCAGAAAATTGCGGATTTGGGCCAAATCACGAAATTTGTTGCATCATATATCTACTCGGGAGTTCGTACTGTGCAAATAACCTACAGGATCATGGAAAGAACTGCGTGAAAAGTGCATAAAAATGTGAGATATAGTGCAGAAAGCAACAAAAAACGCGGGAAATCGCGAATTTTGCTGAAAATCGCGGGTCTGGGCCAAAATCGCGAAATTTGTTGCATCCGTGGAATCGCGATTTCCTGGAGGGACAGACCTTTATCGGGCTGGGCTGTACGGTAGATCTACCAGTTCAAGTTGGGATGAAGAAGTATGCCGAATTAAAGATAGTGCTGGGGTGTTATTTTGCAAGGCAGCAAACTAGGCCCTGGCGGATAATGCTCGAAAAGGTGGCAGATTCTGCTCGAAAAGCAGTGAAATTGGCAGAACCATACAAACCTTATGGCGTGCAGTTCCTCGAATCCTGCTCCATTTCTTTATCCACATACCAAACATGCATGAAACTTACCAGAAAAAGTACCGAATTCTGCCAATTTTTCTGCCGGCATTATCCGCCAAGGCCTACAGCAAACCCATGGTTACTGCCTACTGCCGTACTGGCAAAGTGAGCTACTGCAGTACTGGAGAGTGGAGACCGGGGCGTGGAATGCACTGCTGATCCAGGGCGTGCATGGAGTGCATGGCACACTACTGAGCAAGCATGTTTTAAAAAGTGAATCCTCAACTTGAGACACCCTATTTAGGAACAACACCAGAAGAGATTCCCCGAAAGCCGTTATTCTATAACGGTTCATGTGCCGGCGAATCACCCAACAGTCTCGTACATCCGCAGACAGTCAACCCCTGATACAACGAACACCATTGTGCATGCACTTCATCACAGTTGACCCCTGATATAACGAACACTCCTGATAGTTATAACGAACACCACTGCGCAGGAGAATTTAATACCTCTCTATTATTAATTTCTTTATTATAGCCAAGTTCGTTATAACGGAAATGCACTCAAACTGGCCACACATGTAACCATGGTAACACGTCACGACTGTCATGTGACCCAAAGGCAATATATGAGTGCACTTGGTGTAGATGTACATGCGGCGTGGGAAGGTATTTTAGTGTGATACAGTCACGTACATGTACATGTACAGTGAAACCGTCTCGTCTATTTCTTTGCCTGCTGCTAAAACTAGATATGGCATGTTCTCTGTTTCTTTCCTTGGCGCTGATCGGTGGAATTCTCTGCCTACATTGTATGTTGTGTCGCCAAGCTGATCAACCATCCGCTTTCATTTCGCTCTGCAAAGAGCACAAAGTCTTAGGGTTCCCTGTAAAAAGACGGCAACGTCTGTAGGGATTTCCCTATAACAAAATAATAAAATACTACTACTACTACTATCTGTCCAAAACAACTGCTTAAGGGACCTTCAAAGTGTGGTCTCTGTAACCAGGTGGTCTACTTATCCTGTGCCATTTGACTGGAAATAGCATCCCTAGGCCCTTGGTCCTGGGTATACAGACTGGTAACAGTGGTCGTCTGGGACAGGTGGTCGCCTTATCCGAGTGGTCGCCTTGACAGGTTTTACTGTACGGTCAGACATCTGAAGTACAATTTACTCGTGAAGGGGGGGGGATGTGGCTGAACCGAAATGGTTTGCAATTTAGAGCCCAAATCAGTGTATTATATTGATTCATGGCGGTACCTGCGGCAAACAGTGCCAGTGCCCCGCAGTGCCCCGCAGTGGTATGGTCAACACGGTCGCAGCCGTACTATGTCCGACACCCCTGCCGACGGCGGGGGGGGGGGGGGGCATGCGACCCCAAAAGATCACTCACGGTCTTGTTAGACCGTGACGAAAACTGTTTGCTACAAAGGATCAATTTTGTATGGATTCAAACAGGGACAGGGACAAGGGGTCGCTATTATCACGAATTTCGCTACATGCGAGTTTCTTATGAGTGGAGTCGACTGTGTACATGTGTCACATGATGTGTGTGTGTCCAATGCAAAGAGAAAAGTACGTTATGTCCGGAGAATGTTATATCCAGAATATGTTACATGTACCGTAAAAAAAAGGAAATTATCGTGTCCGTTCCCGAAGGGAACTCACGACGGCCGCTAACACCCGGTAAACCCTACCGTAAAGTTTTGTATAAAAGCCGCGGCTTCTATGACTTTCTTGGTGAAATTTTGCAGGCTTCTATAATTATGAGACAGGTATTTCTGTGTATGTCAACACCAAAACCAGGCTTAGGCCACCCTTTCTTTTTTCGTTGTTTAACGTCCGCGCCCGCGTACCTTTTTGCCTCCGACCGGAAAAAAAAACACAAGAAAGTAGTAGTACCAATAATATGCGAAGTTGTAAATACATGATTGTGTAGTTTCACAGTGTGCCGATCATGACCTTAAACTTATAATCTTGCCTCCCGGGCATGACTTTGTCTTGTGTTCTTTTTCTTTTTTTGTTGGCTTTTAAATATCGTACGGTGTGTGTCCTAGTAAAAATCCAGATGTAATGAATTCATGACATGCTAACTCCATGCTATGTACCTGTTTTGTTGGATTCATCAGGCATGTGCTCCAATGTACCATCAAAGAGTGTTGTTCTATGCCTGCAAGTGCCGTTAGACCCAGAAATATTGTATATATCACATGCTTTACTGGTCAAAATGTTTGATTGGGGTTTCCAGTTTTTGCAATGGGCTTTTGTTTTTTTTCCGCCCTCCCGCGTACCTTTTCGCGAAAAAAAGGACGTTAAACAATGAATTAACAAAGGGTGGCCTTATGTGTGATTTGATGGGCCCAAAATTGCGGCTTCTATTCAAGTGCGACTTTTACACAAGACGTTACGCTTACGGTATACAGTGTATGTTATATCCAGAGTATGTTATATCCCGAGTATGTTATATCCCGAGTATGTTATATCCAGAGTATGTTATATCCAGAGTAGGTTATATCCAGAGTATGTTATAGCTGGAGTATGTTTAACCCGGACTGCCGTAAAGTCTTGTATAAAAGCCGCACTTGAATAGAAGCCGTCCTCGAATAGCAGCCGCAATTTTGGGCCCATCAAATCACACATAAGCCTGGTTTTAGTGTTGACATACATAGAAATACCTGTCTTGTATAGAAGCCTGTCTCATATAGAAGCCTGCAAAATTTCACCAAGAAAGTCATAGAAGCCGCGGCTTTTACACAAGACTTTACGGTACGTTATATCCGAGCACTTTCTACCAAACTGTTTTACTGCACCAGTATTGTACGTACAGTGCCGCTGCGATACTCCAAGACATGCCACACGTCATCAAACATGCAACACATGCTGACACATATAGTGCTAGCAACTGAAATCCAACCCCTGAGCGGTGCGCTCACATCGCCAAGACCCAACGCGGAATGGTAAAACTACGAAACAGAGACCGATAGTCTGAATGTGGACGCACCGCAAGTAGGGGGGTCGGATTTCAGTTGCCAGCATTGTATATTTATAAGCTGTTGACATCATCGCAAAACAGCTGTACATGATTGTATTTATATTGTTATAACTGTGAGTAGCAAGTTGCAAACCAGTGCAGTATGCATGTGGTGGTGTTGTGGTGATGTCACAGTTCAGCAACTCTCGTACTACAGACACACAGTACAGTACTCATACATAGTTGCGCTCACTGAAGTCCAAACCCACGTGCAAAGCTGCATGGCACCCCGCCCTGGCCCAGTTCCGATTACATCACTGTGCTCGGACATGACTGTACGTAACGTCGCGTTGGCACCACTTCCAGGGCGTCAAGGGCCGGCCGTACGGGTTCAGGACGCCAGATACGCACTTCGGGTCGGATTTCACCGAGCACAACTGTACATAATCATCTGAAAATGTCAAATGATGATGTAATCGATGCATGCCCTCTACATCACACTGCATGCAGATCTTGGGCCAGTCAGTCCACGGGATCTCCGGTCGACACTGGGCCTATGAAACCCCAGGTTATGGGCGGATGAGCGCGCGCGCACACACACACACACGCATGAACAGAAAGACAGACACACACACGCACACACACACGGACACACACAAGAGAACACTCCCCCAAAACCCACAGCGCAACATCTCAGTGAAACCCATCACGCATGAACAGAAAGACAGACACACACACGCACACACACACGGACACACACAAGAGAACACTCCCCCAAAACCCACAGCGCAACATCTCAGTGAAACCCATCAGATACATGGAACAGCTTTTTACAGAGAAGCCAATAATCCTTCAAATAGATTTCTGAAGTCCTGACCAAAACAGGAAAATTCATCACCATCATCACCGATAAAAATACTCAAAAATATTTGAAAAAACAAAAACACAAAAACTCTAAACCGTATGTACAGAGCTGGGGGTAGCAGAGCTGGGGGCAGCAGAGCTGGGGGTAGCAGAGCTAGGAGAGAGCAGAGCTGGGGGTAGCAGAGCTGGGGGTAGCAGAGCTGGGAGAGAGCAACCAAAAACCACAAATACACGTAGGAGAAAAGTCTGACGTTGTCAATGACATGCCACGGGCTTTCTTGACACTATCTTAGGGCATGAACACACGGCAAGAAATAGCTATTACACACAAGAGAACTACCTAGAACGGGGAGGGGAGGGGAGGGGAGAGAGAGAGAGAGAGAGAGAGAGAGAGAGAGAGTTGTGTCGCTTTCGACAAAAACCCCACTCGGCGCTGCCGGAGAGAATACATACAATGTAGAAGTAGAAGTATATTTTGTGCGGTTAAGTTGCTACGTTTGTTATCTAAACTAGACCGATAGGGCTGATGCACCAGGACCATGTAGGGTTGGTCAACACAAACTGAATTCATGGGAGCACTGGAGACTGAATGCATGCCATCAACTACAAATGACTATAATATTATTATGAGTTTCAGTCGTAGGGGAGGAAATTTTCTTCGGGAAATAGGATAAAAAAATCTCGTGAAGATGTCGTATTGGATAAAGAATTATGATTTGAAGCGTCGGTCCGTTTCGCTCACGTCTCAGTCTTTCGACGCATAACAACAAAAACACAGAAGACAGTACTAACTAGGGGAGTGGTGTGCACAACTCAAGCGGTTCAGCTGTACAGCTATGCTGCTCGATGCAGCGGCCACACCTATGATGTTTGGACACACACACGCACGCGCACAGATGCGAGTGCGCATGCACGCGCACACACACACGTCTACACATGTCTATTGCGCTCACGAAGATGCCAGCTGACCTGTCCCACACACACACCGACCACACCCGGGCATGCGCAGCATCACGCAGCGCAATGCAGCCTGCGCCTCCTTACTACCTTAGATGGGCGCGCAGCAAAACTGACCTGCGCTCGCGTGTGGTACGGCCCAACGTGTCACGACGCGCCACATCACGGTCCGCTGGCTGCAGCCGTTGCAGCGGCCGCCGCTTTCGCTTTGTTCTGCATGGGCAGATAGAGCTTGAACTCGGCCGGAAGCTCATCCTCACTATACAGCCGATCGCTGAAGTAGACGCGGCGAATGCGGCAGTTGGCGTGTATCTGCACGCGCACCGTCTCGATGTAGTTGGTGCCGTACGCGCGGCGCGTGAAGTCCGACAGGTTGAACTGGATCTGATTCCAGCCGTCGTCTAGCCGCATGGGCATGGTGCAGATGAACGGCTTGACGCGCGTAGAGCTCTGGTAGTTGCTCGCGCGGAAACGCCGGTTCACGTTCTTGTCGTCCACCACCTGAACTTCGAACGTGAAGTACTTGCGTAGGTTCTTGATGATCATCACCAGAAATGGCAGTTTGATGCCCAGCACAGCCTTGGGGTCGGGCGGACACGTGATGAACGTAGTACTGACATTGGTGCCCATGATCTCCAGCACCAGCGACTGGATGTCCTGGTCCGTGATGCGCTTGATGTGCCCGTTGCGTACTTTCTTGTCCCAGATCATCAGCGGCTTGCTACCTATGCTGTACAGAATGGACAGGAAGCCCGACTGAAACGTGTTTTTGAACATGACTGTGGCGTTGCGGCAACTTCCCGGCACCCGGCAGCACAAGCAAACACACGGACGTTATCGACTGCTCGTCGCCTACAAGGAACGCTCTCCTATCGATACTCAACTCGCAGCAGCTGCTCTAAAACAAAAAAATGCAAGGAACTCAGAAATTCTACGATAATGTTCTCAACTTTGTTTTTAGTGCGGGGTAGGTCAAAATCTCTATGCAGAAATTGATTACCAGTCTGAAAGCCGCCTGAAATAAACTGCAGCCGTCGCCCCTCGGTAACCTAAAATATTCTGAGCTGACCTAGTTTCTTGACCGGACTAACAGAGTTCTCAGAAAGCGGCAATGGCGAAAGGGGTTTTGAACTGTTCCTCTCGGTACTGAGTGGAGCTGAGCTGAGAAGTGAGAGTGAGAATCGACAAGCGCATATATCGCGATAACGATACCGAATCTCTGAATTTTTGCTTCGGCTTTTTGACGCCGTTGCCAGGTGATACGTTAGCTACCCTGCGCGTCGCCATGGCGAAGTACGCCAAATCCTGCGCTGGCGCCTTGCACGGGGGCCGAAGATTTCAGTTCCGTGACAGCTTCAAAAATCAAATCCTCAAAACAGCACAGCACCGCGCACCATCGGCGCGGCATCGCACTTGCACTGATGAGCAGTGATGTGACTATCAGATCAGATTGTACATTCATAATCAGGGAGTCGTCAAATACGGTATTTGACGACTCCCTGTTCATAATCATACTGCACTGAAGTCTGAAGCAAGCATTTAAATTTTTTGTTGTAAAGGAAAGTCACCATGGTCACTGGCCACTCAGCACAATAGGAAACAATACTACTACGTCTTGTAGATACCACAACCTTTGACTTTGTTTAGAGGATAGCGGAGTTTGATTTTGATTTTGATCGTTGACGAGAGCAGCGCAGTATCCAGGAGAGAAACTGCAGAGAGCGGCGATGACATGCAGCAAGCACCTGAAATAACCGACGTACTGGAGTACATGGACAGTGTGGTTGTCTATCAACACACAGTCTATCAAGTTAGTTATCAACACACAGGCTATCAATGGTTGGCTCTCGCCCTTCATCTCAACCGATTAATTGGCCGTCTTTTGACGTGCCAGGAGATGTTTTCTAAATAAATAAAAATCATAAAAAAGTAGTAATAATACTAGCACTGTTGTTGTCTATCACCAAGAGTTCATAACCCTTGGGGGTTATAAACTCTTACTATCACCACTGAGTACCAAGAGTGCATGGACTCTTGCCAGTAGAGAGGTTCTGCAAAACGAAAATGTGTACGAACTTTCGCTCTACGTCACGAAGTGAGAAACTTCGCACGAACTTTTGCAACTTTGGACGCGAAACTTGCAGGGAACGCGAAATGAACTTTCGTAGGAAGTTTCGTGAGATTGGGTCATGTCGTACGTGCACCGTTGGCGCGTGCAAACTACGAAAAAGTGCAGAACACAAAGTTCGTGCGAAAATTCGTACACATTTTCGCAAGGCCTGTTGCGAAACTTCGTTCGAATTTTCGTTGTGCAGAACCTCTCAAGTACCAGGAGTGCATGGACTCTTGGCAGTACCAAGAGTGTATCAACATCTTCATGCACTCGTCTTGCCTGTACGTAACACACCACTATGTCAGTATGTATGGTGGAGACCGTTGACGTCATGTTGGTGGATAGCCACATGGACTTCGGTAGTACCGGTACTCGTACATTATCAATAATATTATTTCATGATGATGTATGTGTATTGCAACAGGTTGTGCTGCTGGTGTTCAGGCAGACTGGCACGGCCGAGAGGTAACAATTCCTTGCTTGCTAACAAGACGTCAAGAGTACATGACACCCAGAGTGTGCAGCGTGTGACTGTTATCTGCATGGCCATATATGGGTGTCTAGTCTTGTCACCAGGCGAAATTCCGGGATGACATCATGGCAAGAGTACATAACCCCCCAGAGTGTGCAACGCCTGATTCAGCTCTGCATCGGGTCTTGGTCGAGCGTAATCGGAGCTTTGCGTCATAATACCGTACACATCCGAGGGGAACCCGGGGAGTCGCGGGTACTCTCGGATCAAAAACAACGGTGCCCTGCCTCGAGACCGGCCTTGCGCTGGTGTGGAGTGTACGCATGACATCAGAAGATCCGATTTCGCTCGACCAAGACCCTATGCAGAGCTGGATCGGGCGTTACACACTCTGGGGGGTTAAGGTTATGTGTACTCTTGATCATAGTCCTAGTTACATCATAGTCCTAGTTACATCATAGTCCTAGTTACATCATAGTCCTAGTTACATCATAGTCCTAGTTACATCATAGTCCTAGTTACATCATAGTCGGTGCATATAAGCTGTGGGTCCAGTGTGGGAAGTGGCTTAGTTGCAGGGGCGTGCTCGGCGAGGGGCACAGGGGGCAAGTGCACCCCCCAAAATATTTCGACCGGGGTTTTGAAAAGTCACCAATGTATTGCGGAAAGCCCGACCTCGCGGGAGCACATCCACACTGCACAGATGAGGTGCTGGAGCTGTTCTTTCGACGCTCTCCTCGCCGAATCCTGTCCAGATACGTCAACTAGTGTTGCGATTATTCTTAGCTATATCGGTACAATACGTGTTTGCATCAGCCTGCCTGGCAGTGCCGTCGACGGATTGGTTTTTAAAGATTTGTAAAGTTTTCATCCTTTATTTTGAAAAAATTGATATGATGCTGTACTGTGTTCATTCTTGATGACATACATGTACAATCTGTGTATGATGTCACCGGTACGACCTTTTGAAAATTGCTGTTGTCTGGAAGGGGAGCCGAGCACGCCCCTGAGTTGCGTACAGCTGAGCTGCAGCTGTGCAGATACCGTATTATCTCTAATATAAGCACGGTCCTTTATTTTTTCAATGTACCTCCGCCCCGTGCTATTAATGGAGACGTTCCTTTATTGGAGACTGTTCCATTATTATTTCAACCTCATTTCAGAGGCATGTTTCCATGCCAAATTCATGTCAGACACACACATTTCAGGGTTTTTTTCGCCGGTACAGATAATGAATTTACACAGTGTGCTTATAATGGAGACTGAGCACTTTATTTTTTGAATGCCGCCCCAAGGTGTTCTATTATTGGAGACGTGCTATTATTGGAGACTGTGCTTATATTAGAGATAATACGGTAAAAACCTGCTTTGATTTACTGCGCACGCAATGTTCAATGTTATCAATGATTGACCGCTACATGACATTGTATCCAAAACAAAAACTGGTTTAGATCCTGCACTACATGGCTACATGGCTTCATGGCTAACACGATGTACTGTACATGTAATCCCGGAATTTCACCGAGACACCAACTCATCCCAGGTACATGTACACTCTGGGGGGGGGGGGGGGGGGGGGGCTGCGTACTCTTGGTTGCAACCAAGACTGCGGCATCGCTCACGACTATACACACAGGCAAGAAACATGTTTGAATGAAACTCTGCGCTGTGGCCATGTGGGCGGACACTGTGAGCTGAGAATTTGTTGCGGACATGTGTATCTGCCTGAGCAAACATACTACACACATGATCTGCGTCTATGCAACTACTTCAGTAGTCATGTTTGACCGGTGAGCACGGCATACTAGTAGACGACAGTCCAGTCCCGTACGGTGTACCAATGCCAGGATGAGCGGAATGGACAGGACAGGAGTGAAACCCACACCGTTTCATGCTCAAGTGGCACGTGTCATGTCCCCAGATGTTGCCACTCCACGCTGTCCACACACACACACACACACACAATAGCATGCACACAAACACACACACAATAGCATGGACACAAACACACAATAGCACGCACACAAACACACAATAGCACGCACACAGATATGTACTATTACTATTATAAGTTCATAAATCGAACAGATTTACGGAGGATGGTTCAAAGTTTCCAGACTGCAGCGAATCCCACAATGCAACTAGGAGCATGCAGAATAGTGGATGCTACTAACAAAATAGAGGTAAAAGTTGATAGAGAAAAAATTCCAGACTGCCCTGGAAAACCCGGACAAGCCCCAGGTCAGGTCAAAAATCGCTCAAAAATGCGAGAAAGGAAAGAAAAAAACAACGAGCGAAAATCGTCAGCCAAGCCTGTGAAGTGTAAACAGCGAGTGCACACGACAGTATAGTACTTGAATAAGTGTGCAATTGTGCATACATGCACGAACACATCACGACGGGAAGACGGCAGATAGGACAGTATGCGGGTCACATGATGCCCCGTGGAAACGGATCAAGCGAAGAGAAAATGAGAACACAAAGAGAAGAGCAAACGAAAGCGAAAGACAGCACAAGCAAAAATATACAATGTATAACCATTCATAGCTGCGGATACGTTATTGAACTCAGCGAGAGACATGCATGGGTTTGTGAAACTCTTCTAAGGTCTCGTTTGGGTTGGCTGCTGCAATAAAATATATATTATAGCGAGTAAGTAAGAAACTATCTCTCAGACAATCTCTCTCTCTCTCTCTCTCTCTCTCTCTCTCTCTCTCTCTCTCTCTCTCTCTCTCTCTCTCACACTCACTCACTCACTCACTCTCACTCACAAACTCACTCGGAAAAAAAGAAGATGTTTGCCAACTGTAGCTCAGGATTGATAAGTTGCTAAAAACTAATAATCTCTCTCTATATAGATGTGGATGACTATATGAAAGGCTATGGGGATGGGGATGGCTATGGGGATGTAGATGGCTATGTGTCAATCTCTATGTGCACTGACATAAACCGAGGCAAAGCTGATAGGCAAGCGGTTAGTAATAAAAGCTGTTAAAAAATCGTAAACAAAAAAAGGCCACGCGCTAAGTGTCCGCACGCGCGCACGCGTGTGCGTACGGCATGAGTGTCACACGACCAAATTGCCATGGTGACAGGACAGTTCCGACATGGACGCGGCATCCTTGGAATCTGCAGTGACAGCGGCCACAGTGGTATGACTATCATAGTCTAGGTTGAGTAGAGCGGCGATCACCACTATGCACACTGTTGCCACGGGCACTACCATGGCAACACACAGTGACCAACGGCCAGTTGTTACTGAAGCAGAAGAGCGAGACAGGCTGGGCAGAAGAGACCCTGCTGTGGTGTAAGTGTTGGAAAGCGAGCAACTGTTCGTCTTAGCTGACCACCGGCCATCTAATCTTGCCACTCAAGCTCACTCCGCACATGCACATACACATGCATATGTCTGTGTGTGTGTGTGTGCGCGAGTGTGTATGCGTGCATGTGCTTTGCGCATGCACAGACTAGACGACATGGACACCCGTGCGCATCTGGACAGATGGCAGCTTGCACTGTCTGCCTGCAATGGCGTTCGAGAGCAGGCACGTACGCAGACGCGTGTGTTCCCTCCATCGTGCGATGGAGCATGTTGCAAGCGACACATTGATCAAGACAACACTCTTCAACCTTGGCAGTATGTTTCAACTAACCGTAGTCAGTGTCAGACGGTGTTCTGGGGCGCAGTCTTCGTCAACTAGCTAACCACCGATTCGTACGCTTTCACGAACGCATCAAACGGCTGCCGGAATATGGCACCGTTCTCGATGGCTGTTGTCAGCGCATTCAAGTAGGCTTCAATGGTGGGAAACAGTGGTCTACGGACACAGACAAACAGACAGACAGGTTGATGGACACACGCACACACACGGACATAGATGTGCAGGTGCAAACGTACGCACAGGCAAAAGCCGAGATAAAGAGAAGACAAAAGACATAAACAAAAGTCAGTGCACTCTAAAGCTGTGTTCACAACTGGCGTGTGTACGCGTGAAACCACGCGTTTGTGCATATTTTTTGCTGGCGTTCAGGGCGCCATGCGTACGGAAACGCGCCGAAATGGAAATTCCAACAGGTTGGAAGTTTCAGCGCGTATCAGGCGTGTACCAGCGTACATGCCAGTCACTTTGACTAGCGGGGTCAAACAATTAGTACATGTACTCGACAATACGAGTCAAATTGCTGTCTTTTGTGAAAGCCTGAGCGGCGTTTGGGCACACATGAACCGCAGGAGAGAGAGAGAGAGAGAGAGAGAGAGAGAGAGAGAGAGAGAGAGAGAGAGAGAGAGAGAGAGAGAGAGAGAGAGAGAGAGAGACACACACACACACACACACACACACTGTGACACAGACGACGATATCTCACCTAGCCATAGGATCCAGTTGGCAGCACATAACTGGCACATCAAACACCTGCGCTGGAAACTGTCCAAGGAATTGAGACCTGAATGCCTTGTCATCCAGACCAAACTCCTGCACAATTCGTACACAGCAACAGCCATACTTCAAGTTCAATGAAATGGGCATGTCCAGCATGACATCATACCCATGGTCATCGTGCAAGAATGACATCATATCAATGGTGATCATGCAAGAATGACACCATACCCATGGTGATCATGCAAGAATGACATCATACTCATGGTGATCATTAGTGGTGAAACGAATATACCGAATGTTCGAATATTCGTTCGGTTTGACACATTCGAACGAATATTTCTCATGGCGAATATTCGTTAACCCGGCATGCAGAATCAACCGGGCGACTTCAAACTTTCAAAACTTCGTGAATACTTGACCGAATCGCTTCATTGAAAGATCTATCGGCATTAGCAAACTCTCCTCTGTTGTTTAGAAGCCACCCAAACGCAATCCGAGGTCCTGGAGGAGAGGTATGGCACTCGAACGAAAATCACGTCTCAAGCTGTTTTTTGAGCCTGTGAAAGGCACTTCAGCTGGGGATTTTTGTGAAAAATGACCTAGAAATGATGGAGAAATATATGCCTTCGTTCGTCATGCCTAATAATACTTCGAAGTAGTGACAATATCCAATAAAATGACTGAGAGGAGGGCATGTGATGTCATCCGTGTTAACGAAAGAATATTCGGTCGTTCGTTCGTTAAGCCGAAGAATATTCGGCTACTGGGTTTTCATATTCGTTTCACCACTAGGATCATGCAAGAATGACATCATACTCATGGTGATCATGCAAGAATCACATCATACTCATGGTGATGGTGATGTCATTGCACCTTAAGATGTGTACAGTTGAAGCAAGGCCGACAGCACGCCATATCACTACTTAGCAGCGGTGCAGTGCATTGACTAGCGCCAAGAGTACATACCCATCGAGAGTGTGCAACTGCCTATATGACCTCTATACAATGCTGCGACCGCAGAACTTCACATCACGTGACATGTTTTAGGTTATGCTCGCAAACAGTGCAAAGTGACCACAAGAGACTTGAACCCAAAGCAGGGTTGCGTGCAACCCTGTATCTATCATACACAGAGAGCAAATAATGTGTACGGGTTCGTCACACGATGTGAAGTTCTGCCGTCGCAAACCCCAGACCGTAAAAGCCCCTGCATATGCCCACTCAAAATTACGCCCACCCTCCGTGTACACGCCCAGTCAGGGGAAGTCAACACTTTTGTTTCAAAATAGCACCCATGCCCATGTATACGCCCAGGTATGCCGGAAACACCAGTACAGTCAGACCTCGCTTAACCGCACACATCTGTTTTCCACAAAAAAATCCGGATAGGCGAGGTAACCGAATAACTGAACACACATACTGTACATGCATGTGGCATGTCAAAAGCAGTGACATCGTACATACATGTAGACAGGTCCTATGCAGTACAACTAGCGTGCCCAGTATGTAAAACAAGCGAGAAAAATGACAAGTGCATGCAACTGAGTGCTGTCCGCGTACACCCAGCAGGTCAAGGACCTCATTTGCTTGTACAACTCCCTGATACTAGCTTCTGCAAGCGCTAGCCAGCCACATGCAACTGGATACGACGAAGCTTTTTGTACACATTTTAACCAGTTTGTACACAAAATCATGCACCGGTATGCGGATCGCAAGGTCCGGTTATGTTGTATGCATAACATATGCTGCACATCGGTAACCAGCGATTTTCTTCCGGATGGCGAGGGATCCGGATAAACGAGGACCGGATAAACGAGGTCTGACTGTACATGTACAGGTACTGATACCCAATACTTACTGCTATCCCTATTCCAAGTGTACGCCCGGTTCCGAAATAACGCCCGTGCCCTTGTATACGCCCAGGAAATCGAGGCTGCTATTCTATACGCACGGGGCCTATACACGGGCTTTTACGGTAGCTGGAGTTGCACACTCTTGGGGGGTTATGTACTCTTGCTAGCGCAGATGAACAGACACACAAACATACAAACATACAAATACACACACACACACACACCAGACTCACCATCGTCCTGGGCATCTCATCAGGGTCTGCAGATATGCGCCCAATCAGCTGGTACACACATGGACAGCAACAAGCAACACAGCCAGAGCAGTTGTGACAAAGCAAAGTAAAGTGCGCCGATGCCTTGACTTGGAAACCAACCAGGGTCAGTTATAGAAACCCTGCAATCGCCACGCAAAGTGGTCATTGGCTGTTTCAGCCATGTATTGCTTGGAATGGGCAAGCAACACAGCCAGAGCAGTTGTCACAAAGCAAACCAAGCACGAGCATGACATACGGATCAGGTTGAAGATATACAGTCAACTTTGCGTATAACGACACTCGGCCGAGCATCAGAAAAGTGTCCTTATTCGCCAAGTGTCGTTATACCCGAAGTCTCATTATATGTATACAGGTAGTATGGACTTTGCTCTGGGCATGGAAATTCTGTCGTTATTCGCGAATTGTCGTTATATCCGCAGTCGTTATTAGCCAAGTTGACTGTACATCACAAAGTATGAGAGTAACCATGGTAACGAAGGAGATGCAGTTTAGCCATGGAGTAAAGTGCACTGATGCCTTGACTTGGAAACCAGCCAGGGTCAGTTATAAAAAAACCCTGCAACCGCCACGCAAAGTGGTCGTTGGCTGTTTCAGCCATGTAGGGCTTGGAATAAAACTACAGTAAACAGCAGAAAAATTCTAACACACAGACACACCCATACACAGACACACCCATACACAGACACACACCCATACACAGACACACCCATACACAGACACACACCCATACACAGACACACAGACACACACACCCATACACACAGCAGAATCCTACCTCGCATGTGATGATTCCGAATGAGAAGATATCGGCGCGATAGTCGTAACCCTTGCCCCGCATCATCTCCGGAGCCATCCAATACGCTGAGCCAACAACCTGCGACTGACTGTAGTGTAAGGACGACAAGCAAACAAGAACAAACACACGTCAGCATGTCTACACTCAGCCACACATGCACTCCTGCATACAAACACACAGGGACATTGCCGCCCCATCCACCCACTCATGCATATAAACACACAGTGGACATTGCAACCCCATCCACCCACTCATGTATATAAACACACAGGGACATTGCAACCCTATCCACCCACTCATGCATATAAACACACAGCGGCATTGCCGCCCCAACCAATTCACCCGTGAATTCGCGAGTTTGCACTCCACTTACGGAAAGTTGTCTACGTAGAGTACGTAGATAGGGCTGTGATAACGTAGCTGGTCCGTAAGTGGATTGGGGTACAAATTAAGACTCGCACCCCAGGTTGATCTGGTCGTACACTGCTGCGTTCGGAGTTGCCAAGGGCAGCTACGTGATTTGAAAACTCCGTATGGCGGAACACATGCAGTTTCCGTAAGACTTTCCGTAGATCGACTACGTTTTTTACTCACATAATTACGTTATGCGGAACCTCTCTAGTATATAGCTTTTTCCAGAATGGGGCACCATGCTCGCCACCGGCACTCACCCCAAGATAGTGGTGAACAGGTCGCATGTCAAAAGACTCAAACGCATTGAAAAGTATACGAAATGTGGCAGGTTCGTCTCCACCAGCGCTTGCAGCGATTCTGAAGCTTGTTCTTTTACCGCCCAAGCCATGGAAGGGCTTCCTGGCAACTGCTCTGACTCAACACGAGTGTCAGACATCAAGTGGAGCGCCATTCTACTGCTGCTTTCAGCTTCATGCGTCCATTCCCACACAAAGTGGACGTGAACTGGGCTTCCCCTGTTCACCAGCGATACAAACAAATTCTCGCGCGTGATCCCAAAAAGTGACTGTTGGTCCAAGCTGAAAAAGCTCTATAGGTACACACATGTACACAAGCCAAACACACTGCAATGCTGATGATGCTGCTGGTGCTGCTGACTCTCAAAAGCCAGCATGGGATGGGTTTGAGGAGAATGGCAGTAGACTCTGAGTACTTCAAATACTTACTTTGGGTCTTTGCCAGCCAGTACTTTAGCTAATCCAAAGTCCCCCACCACCACACTGTCATCCTGTTAACACACACACACACACACACACACACACACACACACACACACACACACACACACACACACACACACACACACACACACACACACACACACACACACACACACACACACACACACACACACACACACACACACACACACACACACACACACACACACACACACACACACACACACACACACATGCAGCAGCAACAGGAACATTTTCATACAATACACAAACAAGGCTGGTCGAGGCAGCAGGCAGCTGCAAGCAGAGTGTTCAATGCACCAAACATACACAGTAGTATACACTTTTCTAATGTTCATTACAGTCAGACCTCGCTTAACCACACACATCCGTTTTCCACAAAAATATCCGGATAGGCGAGGGAACCGGATAACTGAACACCAGTTATGTCGGATGCATTACGTATGCTGTAAATCTGTAACCAGCTATTTTCTTCCGGATGGCGAGGGATCCGGATAAAAGAGGACCGGATAAGCGAGGTCTGACTGTAGCCTGATGATGGGCCTGGCCCGAAAATTTGGTGTAATGTAAATTTTAAATTGAATCGCAGTGAAGAGACCGTTTTAGGAGTTTGGAGTTGAGAAGTGAAGTTTGCTAAATGAGCAGTATACACACACCGGTACAACAGAGACAAAAGGCTATGTAGCTGTACTTTCAATGGTAACGCATTTCAACGACCTGACAGACCGCCAGACTAATGCCGCTGTCTGATGATCGTTGAAATGCATGTATGGAAAGAGCAAACCATACTCCCCTCCCCACACACACACACCCAACACACAAACACACGTACACGCATGTACATACCCATACAAACGTGCACACACGCACACAGACAGGCTTACCGTTCTAATCATACAGTTGTTGGATGTCAAGTCGCGATGAATGATCTTGTTGGCATGCAAGTATGCCTGTACGGACATACGTACACACACACACACACACACACACACACACACACACACATGCAGACACACGCACACACACACAACACATCAGAAAAGAAGAGATCAGCATGAAGAACGTGCAAACAGCCACTATGCTATGCATCACCCGGGTCCCCAATGAAAAGCAAGGCACAACTGAGAATAGATCGCGGTGACAAAGCTGACTTGATCTCAAGTTGTTAGCTCCATGGGCAATCGCACTACAGTCAGACCTCGCTTATCCGGTCCTTGTTTATCTGGATCCCTTGCCATCCGGAAGAAAATTTTTGGTCACCACTTTACAGCATATGCCATGCATACATGCAGTATGTGTGTTCGATTATCCGGTTCCCTCGCCTATCCGGATATTGTTTTGTGGAAAACGGATGTGTGCGGTTAAGCGAGGTTTGACTGTAGTATCGCCATCCGCATAGCAGAGCATTGCCTGTACACGAAATGCATATAAATCAGGCTCTACACATGTGATCACATAATTATGCGTTCTCTCTCTCTCTCTCTTCTCTCTCTCTCTCTCTCTCTCTCTCTCTCTCTCTCTCTCTCTCTCTCTCTCTCTCTCTCTCTCTCTCTCTCTCTCTCTCTCACACCCCCCCCCCCCACCCACACACTGATGGCATACGGGTAACCCATACCATGCCTGCTGCTATGTCACAAGCGAAGTGAACTTTCAAATTGTTCGATAAATCACGTTCCTGCATAGCAAACAAGGAAACAAGAGAGAGAGAGAGAGAGAGAGAGAGAGAGAGAGAGAGAGAGAGAGAGAGAGAGAGAGAGAGAGGGAGGGAGAGAGAAAGAGAGAGAGAGGGGGAGAGAATACATTATTGCATACTTCGAAGTAGTATTATGATTTTGCTAAAATCACACAAACACACACATAGCTGTAAAACCACTCCCACTCAGATTCGACCAACATCGTTGACAGTTGAGCAGACAGTACACACACACACACACACATGTACACAGATGATATCTACATTGCAGTTGCAGCTAGCACGTGGGGTGCAAAGACATGTTCTACTTGTGCACAGAGTGTATGGCGTGTAAGACGTTACTGTCGTGGACTGATTGAAATCCGATGGGATGGCCGGGGTCGGTACCCTTACTGCTTTTTAGTGCGTGAATGCACAATGCACTGTACAGTACTGTGTACAGTAGTTCATGTACACACTGTGTAGAAGTAGGCCAGCAGTGCTCGCGGCTGCACTGCCAGTGCCCCGTGGCCGCGTGACTTCCCACCGGATTCCAATATCTGCTACAGTACTTGTCCAATCAGCAGAGTGGTTTCAGAAATCTGCACCTGATCAGCGTGAGCACAATTCTCTGACACCAACTGTCTGTCTGGACGCGGCAAGGCAAGGATCACCTCGGCTTCCAGAGACCTATCATTGCCTGCTTTCCGAGAGCGCGATAGGTCGGTCAGTAGCGTGACCAGTCGCTCAAACCAGATATTTTACGTAGTGTGGACTCGGACAGAGAGCCAAGGATTAACTTATAGAAAAGAAAAAGGACCATGATTGTTTAGTAACTGGTGGTTAATAAAATAAATAAATAAATTCGACGGGTTCGCGTACTGGGCAGGTCAAGAACAAGGAGTCGTACAACTCCCTGGTCAAGAACCACCTTTCCGCTTCCGTGGGACGCCACCACCCCATGATCAGGCGTCAGATGCGGCTCCTAAACGGTGGGGGAGGATAGATCAGATCCATCAACCATGGATGTGGCAGAAACTGGTGGTTAGTGGACATTATAGCGTAACTTGCAGTTCCTTGGTCCTTTTCTTTTCATACGTAGTAGCCAAAGATTCCCTCAAAGGTAGCTGGAAAATGTGTTCCATCACCAGAAAGGCAAAAACAATTTCGACACGCAGCTAATATTCTCAATCTTTCACAGAGCGAAAGATTCACGAGGCATAGCTATGGTGCCGAGGAGAGATTGATAAATTCTGGAAGTTTCAGTTCACGATTAGCGAGTACGATTCAGATTATACCCGCAAGATTTGCTTCATGTTTCTCGAAGCTGTAGACAGCAAGCTGGCTTCATCAGTACAGCTAGGTTAAGTAAGCCAATCTACAAAGCTGTAGACAGCAACCTGGCCTCATCAGTACAGCTAGATTAAGTAAGCCAATCTACAAAGCTGTAGACAGCAAGCTGGCTTCATCAGTACAGCTAGGTTAAGTAAGCCAATCTACAAGCCATGGTGCAAAGGTGTGTCCCTGTAGTTTTTAAAAGGGGCTTTCCCCCTTTCCACAATGCAGAAGTATGTGACAAAGTGGACCACAGAATTACCTTGTCCATTATACGTTCCGAAAGTGTTCCACCGCCGATATACTCTAAACAACACACCAACATACACGTACACAGATGGCACTG